TTCCAGGTCAACTGGCAATGGAGGATAAGCGTTCGGGATTCCTCCTGTGTAACTTGTGTGGATGTGCGTATGCTTATACTGATGCAGGCTCCCCCATCCTCCTCAATATTTGGTCTCTAATGGCAAGGGTTTCTCGAAGATTTAATTTTTAGCTTTCTTCTAAGCATGTATCATGACTTTTCCTACAAATCTAGAGGACCTTACTCTTGGTTCGCGCTCAGCTAAGCCGTAAATGATCCCCTGGCTGAACGAAACTGAAGGTGGCTGGACTTCTTACGCGTTTGGCTTCAGAAGCTGACGTATCCCACTTGTGTTGACTTCCTGCACCACCTATGTGTTAGGCACCCGCTTTTCCTTATTAATGACTTCAAATCTAGTTGCTTCTGATGTAACGTTGTGTTTTTACAGACCAAGAGCTCTGCTTTGAACGTGCTGCATAATACGACTTTCTGGTTATTTTTAGTGACTTCAAAATGCCTGTTGATGAAAGCAGAAGTGATGGGCTCAAAATCAGGTCGTCGTGATAAACCAAAAGATGCAATTGAAGACACTGATGGCCTTTATGATCCCGAGTGTGAAAATACTGGTGTTTTCAAGGCGAAGCAGTGCAATGGAACCACCTGCTGGTGTGTAAATACAGCTGGTGTTAGAAGAACTGACAAACATGATGCAGACTTGAAGTGCGATCGATTAGTCAGAACGACGTAAGTCTTTCAACAGGGTGTGCTGTGACATGAAAACACTCCTGTATTAGGTTTTCCGTTGTAGAGGACTTACCTGTACGAATGATGTGCTGGGGATGAATGAAGATGGAGCAATAAACACTTGATTACGGCTTCCCCCCCCCCTTTAGAAACAAGGAGACATTGAAAGGTTTTGGAGCGGGCTTGCTTTGTTTTTCTCTCACTGCTCTGTTTTTTTGCCTGGGGTTAGATTTTTAGTATGCTTTGTTATATGCATGTGCTTTAAGAATATTCATTGTATTTACCTATTACTTCAGGTGGATCATCATTGAAATGAAACATGCTGAGAGGAATGCTCCTCTGAACACTGAATCTTTAAAGAAGTAAGTGATGATAGTAAGATGTCATGGCAATGTCTGCATGCACTACTAGATATCTAGTGTATTTTTAAACAGTTGTTTAAAAGCATTGTCAAACCTGTGAACTAATTTCTGAGGCATCTTAGAAGTGACCTACTGATCCTTCATAGAACTGCTTTAATTTTTACTGGAAATAAATTAACTGCTAATGAGATTCACTTCTGTTTAAAATTGATTGCTACTGTTTTTTTAATCAAGTCAATATACTGAAGGAAATCGAAGGTGATAAGGTGAAATTGCCCAAAAAGTAAACTGACAAAGATGGCGGAGGGACTGCATAGAAGCAGCAGGAGAAAAACAACAGTTTAGCTATTTTTTGGCTAAAATAAAATCCTGTTTCTCTCTGTCAGAGGGCATATAGCAAGAAAAATGTGCTTGTAGCTATTAGATTTCCCCTCCCCACCACCACTAGAACAAAAGCTGCTGCTCTCTAGGTCCTCTTCTGAACTCTCAAAACTGTTCAGACTCTTCTCTCTAACACTGCAGTAACGTATGTGTTTATTTTTCAGTAAGTGCCTCTTCACTGTTAGGAATTAACAGAGCTCTAGCATAATTTAATAATGAGTGTGTACTGGGTTTGGTTGGGATGGAGTTAATGTTCTTGGTAGCAGTCAGTATGGTGCTGTGCTTTAGACTGGTGACCAAAACAGTGTTGATAAGTCACCAATGTTTTAGCTTTTGCTGAACAGTGCTTACATAGTGTTGAGGCCTTCTCAGACTCTCACTCTGCTGCCCCAGTGAGCAGGTTGGGGGCGGGGGCCAAGAGGTTGGGAAGGGACACAGCTGAGGTGGCTGACCCAAACTGACTAAACAGATATCCCATATTGTATGATGTCATGCTCAGCAATAAATCTGGGGGAAGCTTTTCCCAAGTAGCCATTGCTCAGAGATTGGCTGGGCATCAATCCGCTAGTGGTGAGTGATTGCTTTTGCATCACTTGGGGTTTTCTATTTTCCCCACCCAACCTTTCCACTTACTAGATCTTGACCCATGAGGGTTTTTTTTCTTGGTTTTGCCCTTCTGGTTCTCTTCCCAATCCTGCTAGGGGGAGGTGAGTGAGAGACTAGGGTGAGGGTTTAGCTGCCAGCTGGGGTCAACCCACCACAGAGAGACTGCAGGAAAAAAAAAAACAATTATACTAATCTTCCCTGCTTCTGAAAATAGATGTGTAAAATAGTACTGTTTTTAACAGCTGTGGCTTTAATATCCTTACAGGTTCTTCAAGGAAACAATTACCAATCGTTACATGCTGGATGGACGCTATATAACTAGTGTTCTGGTAAGAGGCACATAATTTTTAATAAAGTATCAAAACTTATTTTGTTGTGAATAACTTTGAAAACTCTTGTTTGACTAATGCAGTACAGCATGTGTCTTACTAGAAGCCCTCAAAATACTGACACTTACTGAGCAGCTAGCAAATAGCTGTATCTGAACTGAAATACTGAGAAATTACATATTGTTCTCCTTAGTCTGCAGATGAATTCTTAGTTTGCCTCTCTAAAAAAGTGGAATTTGAATCGTACTGTAAACAGTTGGCTTGAGAACAAGTACCATAAACTTGATTCAGGATGCAAGTTCACAAGTTGGATCATAATACTTTGCTGTGCATTTGATAGTTGGATTTAAACTAGCCCCTTCTTAATACCATACTATATTTTTTTGCAGTATGAAAAACCTTACATTACTATTGATTTGAAGCAAAATTCCTCAGACAAATCTTCTGGAGATGTGGATATAGCTGATGTGGCCTACTACTTTGAAAAAGATGTAAGTGTGTCATAGGTAAAGTCTGCCAAAGACTAGATGTTTATATTGCATTGCATTCAGTAGTCTTACGGTGTACTGGCTAAAGCAAGATGAATTACTACACTGCTTAGACGAATGCCTATTACAATGTGAACTAGCAAGTGTCTTTTTTCCTTTCTGTTCTTAGGTAAAAGGTGACTCCATCTTTCATAATAACCAACTAAATGTCAGCATTGATAATGAAATGCTGCGTTTTGAGAAGACAGTGGTCTACTATGTTGATGAAATAGCACCGGAGTTTTCCATGAAGTCTCTGACTCCTGGCCTCATTGCTGTCATTGTAGTAGTAATAATAGCAATAGTTGCTGGAGTTGTTGTTCTGGTAAGTTCTAACAAAGCTGCCAAGCAGAATGGGTAACAGTGCAGTTTGGGAAATAACAACATACCGGGGTAATTGGACTCTGATAGAAACAGTCTTCCTCTGTAAACTGGCTTCTTTTTTGAGACTTGGGAGGTGGGAAAGAGGTGACATACTGTCACTGCTTCAGGTTACGATTGAAGGGTGTTGCACAGAAAATGGAAGTATTAGGAAAAACTCACTGAGGCAAAGAAAGTACCTGTCTTGCCTCCTGGTTTAAAGTAGTTGAGATTGACAGACAGCCTCTCGTGTACCTTGCTTTGGAAGGATGGGGAAGGGACAGCTTCAAGTTTGGAATTTTAAAGTCACAACCAGATAAAGTTATTCATCTAAGTCAAGACTTCAAGAAAATCTTCACAATTATTCTGCCTTTCTCTTACAGGTCTTCACAAGGAGGAGGAAAGGGAAGTACGTGAAAGCAGAGGTAATTAATTTCTGTTTATGGTGTATGTGCGGGGAGGGGGTTGGCCAGAATCTAGAAACTCCTAAGTTTGCTGTAGGTTAAAAGCTTGCTTCAGGTGCTTCAGATGTGTTCAAGGAGACTGAAAGTATTCAAAATTCTGTAACTAGTTTTCATCTCTCTATAGTTCTCCATGTTCTTCTGCACTAGTTTCAAAGGCAACTGGTGATCTGCTGCATTTCCCAGGGGTGGGGGGCAGTGCTGACAGGAAGTACTAATTTTATGTATCTATAGCAAGGACTATACAACCCACAGGAAATACTGATAGTCTTGTTCTGTCATGAAGACCTTTACTTGAGATATTTGCATGGAGCTTGCAGTTGCTATTGAAGAGCTACTTCCTAATGGAATAGTAACAAATGGTGATAGCGCATGGTGTTTCACCCCAAGTGTGTACAGCCTTTTGTAAAGGAATCCAGAGGGTGGTGTAGCTAAATAGTGGAAGTCTGCTCCCTGCGCACACCCCAAAGAGATCTGTGAGGGGTTTTTTTTAATAATAAAGCTGAAGTGTTATAGTGGTCTTGGCATGTTTGATTCTGCTAGTGCTATATCAAATCCCTTCGCTAATGAAAATCTGGGTTGTTAAGTCCTATTGACTTCTTGAGTCTGGTGTTGAGAAGTAGCACAAATGTTGATCTCTCTCTACCTCTTCCTCTCCAGGTAAAGGAAATGAATGAAATGCATAGAGGGCTGAATGCGTAGTTAAATCAGCTGAAGACAGAGTAAGATTCAAAGAAGACGACAACAGAAACATTGGAGGCATGGATCTTAACTCTTAAAAGATTCCTCCTTGAAAGGGAGGCGGTTATGCTCACTTAATAATTGTTAAAACTCTTAACAGCCAAGACTGGTTAGCATGCTACGACTTTTACTATTTGTTGAGAGTTAAATCTTAAATGCCCCATCTTACTCAAGTCAAACTTAACTATTGCTCTGTGATTTTATGGGGTTTGTTATGATGATGCAATGAGTTGACAACTGCTGTTACTAGCATTTTGGAGCATACATGCTTAAATGGTTATTTTACCCTTGTGGGCGGTTTTTTGAAAATAATGATTTTTGTAGCCATGTTGTAATGAGACTGTCTCCTGTGTAACAGAACGTAATGTTTTTATGGCTGTTTGTACATATAGAAGTTGCTGTAACTTTTTTATGACTTGAATTAATAAAACTTTTGAAACAGGTTTCGAATTACTCCATGTTGAAATTATGATGATCTGCTAAGTTACCGTGCTTACAAATTCAGCAGTGTAATATTTCCTTAAAGGAAGCAACCTCAGCATAGGTGAAAATATTCTAGAACTCCAATTAACAAAGCTTGTATTAGCCACCTAATATCTCAATAGCTTTTTTTTCTTAAAGCTGTAAAAAGTATGCTTTATCCTATTTTCCACTCTTAATGTGCAACGGGAGTAACATGATAAAATATGGATTGTTTGTATAAAAAAAAACCCATGCTGTGAAAGTAGCAATTTCAGGAATGCATAGGCTGCTCTTTCAAATGCTAGGTAAGTATTCATAATAAAACAAGCCTCTAATCTAAAATATCTCTGGTGTGGGGTTGGGGGTGGGTAGCCTTGGCATCTGACTGGAGCTGGGGAAGAGCTGTTACACCATTGCTGTGACTTGCATAGCAAAGTTGTTGCACAGCTAGAATCTGTTTCTGCTGTTATTACTGTTCACTGTCATGGAGGCTGACCAAACTTACACAGGCTGTCTACTACCTCCCAGAGCTTTGGATAAAGGAGTTTGTTTTGGCAGTCAGTAATCTGTAATGTATATTGGCTAGCAAGTAAACATGTATAGTCTGTCCAGCATATCTGATTTATAAAGGAAATGCTGTAACTCCTGTTGCCAGAGAAACTATGAGATGCAAGATAAGGAACGGAATGACATTTTATTACTAATGTGGTGGTTGTTTTGACACCCCACCCCCCTGAAACAGGAAAAGTAGGATAAACTATTGAGAGGATATTCTACATGCTGTGTTCATAACATTGTGAAACATACCCCATTAGAGAGCTTCTGCGCATCTGCTAAATACAACAGGGATGTTACTGGCCTGCGTTGAATGTTGGAGGTCACCTGTATACCTTCTGCCTTTGAACAAGGTGGTAGCTGACGTGTTTAACTGGTGGATGTTGAAATGCAGACAGTGCCCGCTCCTGTGGGTCTTCCAATGTCCGGTGCAATGAACTTTGGTGTGTGTGCTGAGCTGCTGCAGCCCCCAGGTTTTACTACATTTCAGTCTACAGTATGTTTCGGGAAGTGGAGGCATGCACATCAATTTATCTCTGTCAAGTTGCTCCTCCAGCTAAGCACAGAAATCCTCAAGTAGGGCATTTACTGGAGTGCTCTGTAGCCTTTCCAGGTGCTTTTCCAGTGACGACTTCTGTACAGCAGTCTCTCCCTCTGCCAGTATATGCCACTCCCTTTCTCCCCAGGTATGCGGGTGGTCTGTTGAGGTATGATGAATTTCATACATTTCTGTAAGCTGTTAAACAAAGTCTAGTTTTTAGTAAGCTTGCCTTTTGGCGAGTCGTGCATTACTGTCTTCCCCAGTTCTTTGCTATCTCCGTATCCTCTACTTTCTTAAATGTCTACAATATGGTATCCTTCTTCTCCCCAAGATAATAATGCTATTGTTTCCTCTCCTCCTCCGCCTCCTCTTCCTACTCTCCCTATCCCCAGTTCATACCTTATTTTTGGCCTGTAGGACGGAAAGAGATGTCATGTGCCGTGGCTGGGCTGGAGCTACACATGTGCTGACTTGACTGGCTGGTATGTACCTGCTGTGTGGCCCGGACCTTGTCCCACTCAGTTTGTTTGAAAATCATTTTCTCTCTACTTTTCCCACAGTAGAGGAAGACAGAGCCTTTTCAATTTTTTCATATTGGATACTTGCACAAGATTTTTGCGTCTAATATGGTCTGCTCCCTTGCCGAATTTGACTGAAACTAGCCAAGGGGTCAGAAAACCACAAAGTTTACAGAAATTAATTAAAAAATAGAAGACAGTTGAACTAAATCCACAATTGAAGAGATTATACTGTATCTGTTTCTAAACTCAGTTACTACAGTACAAGCATGATGCTGCTCATCTCTCAAAATGGTTGGTCAATAATATGTTTTTCCCTAGTTTCCTTTTCTAAATAGTTTTATTGACCTTTATATTGGGTTTTGGTTTGTTCCATTTTGTTTACTAAACACTGCACTTATGCAAAAGTCCAGCTGCATAAAAGTGTGTATTTATGGGGAAATGGAAAGGAATAAGGGGGACAAGAGTTGAGAAACTAGTGTATCAGCATCCTGCAGCTTTATTGTGTTTTATAGTTTTTTATAGCTAGAGGAGACTAATGTGCTGAAATTAAAAAAAAAAAGCCACTATCGGTGCATATGCATGTGATGTTTCTTCTTATATAGAGAGCAGTTTTGAACTGCTGGCAAAAATGATCAGTATTGAAAAATAATATGGTATTAAAAACCAAAATACTGTGTTCTCTATTTTAATACTTTGAAAGCATTCAGTAAAGTTGAAAAGCAAGTTCCCGTAAAACAAACCAACCAATAGAACTTAGTAAGCTTATTAGTCGCTGCATCAATTTTTTACAAGGTAAATATTTTGATGCTTCCATTTGCCTAATTCATTAACTTCCCTCTGTGAAGGAGCATGTTTTTTAAATCTAAAGTTCTACACAAAGTTGTGATATCATGTTCCCCCTCTTTTAATGTAATGTCAATTGTGATGAAGGATATGAAGGGCTGAATAAATGAGATCTTCTGTTTTAGAGAGGGGATGGACACAAACTGTACAAGAAACCCTAGTAATAACATTTATCTTAGTGCCTGTGTACAGCATGGGAAAATAGTGTTTGTATAGGCAAATGCAACTCTATTACTTCCTTATGAATTATTACCCTAGCACATATATTAGTTATTATTACTGCTGAGCAAAATTAAATAAATGTTTATGCAAAGACAATGAGACTTTTTAGAAGAGGATATGCAAATAACATATTTGAGAAAGCATGACCAACGAAGTCTATACAACTTTCTTCCAAAGACCTAAGTAATCCCTAAGCGTAGTTTCCACAACTACAAAATGAAAAGTCAGTGTTGCATATATAGGGTCTGTTGGCAGTAGCATGCTCATTACCCTCCTGAACACTCATAGTAAGTTTGGTAAGAGAAATAACATTGTTTGTGAACCATGTTTGTTTATATCCTCACCTGCTGGACTTTGATTGCTATAATATACAGTGACTTTGGATTACAGGCTGCTTGAAAAAGCCCGGAATATATTCTATGAAATTAAAAATGCCAGCAGCTCCCCTGCCCCAACTTTACAACTGCTAGTTACTGAATTCTAGCAACTCCCAGGAGAGGCTGCAGTCTGGTATTACAAAGGTCCATTGCTGCACTTACGGGCAGTCAGGCATGCTATAGGCATGCCTCATATGTTGGGGACCGTTGGGCCCATCCCCGCAGAGTTTTATGAACTTTGCTAAAATCTTTGTCCTCCTTGTCTTAGCAGTGACATGCAATGGCAGACGTATGCAAGGGAGAGGGTGGTAAATAAAAAGGAGGTGGTGTGTAATGTTAGAGGCAACACTGAGCAGCTTACAGCTTGTAAGAACTTCATACATGTAAAAAGTAGTTTTTTTCTCTACCAACACCTAAATGCACTGCAGAATTCTTACGCGTTCAGGTGCCTGCAAAGTAGAGCATGGCTGTGCCAAGTTTGAGTGAAAAAAGTGCATACAAGAAAGTTAAAAGGTTCTTTACAAGGCAACAGCCACATTTTCTGTTTTCAAACTTACATTAACTAAATATTTTTATCTTGTTAATATTATGTTACATCTCTGCTGCATTATACGTGTGCACACTTATATACACATCAGTCTAATACAAAATTTTCTGGTGACATCCACACCAACTCGAAAGCATTAGAGCTGCCACTGATCACACTTGTATACTAATTAATCTTTGGTGAAAAAGGCTTTATTTTTTCTTTTTTTTTTCTGTAGAATGCTTAAAAGACATCCATTTTCCTAACTGAAAAGCCATTGCAACTTTTCTGTGTATCCTAGTTACGCATAAGGCAGCAACAAAATTAATTAAGGTCTAGATTAGCATCCATTTTCTGCCTGCCACGTGCGTAACAATTGCAGCCATCTTCTCATTCCGGTTGCTCCTGGTAGGCAAGGGAGACAGCAGGAAGCGCTCTGTTAGCAACAGCACGGTGAAGCAACCAAGCCTGGCAACAGGGAGATGGTCCCCATTCAGAGTTAGACCTGTGCGGATCAGCCGGCGCACCAAGCTGCCCTGGAAGAACAGATGGGGCAAAGAAACTGGTAGAAGCTCAGAGGAAAGGTGATCGATCCGGTGATGTTTGTGCAAGAGACGTCACAACATAAACGCTTTTCACGGATTGTGAACACTAAGCGTTAGCGGCTGGTGTGGGTGGTGGCTTTCTGTAAATGGGAGCCTGCAGCAGAGCTGCCTTGAGCAAACTGCTGAATGAAGAGGTGTAACCAGCCCAGAGGAGAGGGAAGGAAGCACTGCAACATGCAGAAATTACAGCTTAGCGGCATTATTTTACCTCTTTTGAAGGTGGTAATGAGGTCCCTGGAGCCCACCTCCTCTCCAGCTGTTTGTACAGGACACTTTTTTCTTTCTTGTCCTATCTTCTGCTTTATCTGTAGTCATGGTATGTACAAAGACAAGCACTCCCAGCTATTCATAATGTATATTTTGGGCTGACCTGGTATTATCACCTCTTGCCTGACATG